GAAGAGGCAGAAGTGGATGTGAGAGAAAGAGACACACAGAGAGACAGACAGCCAAGGAGGGCAAGAGACTTGACTTTAAGAGACTCCTGTACTGACAACTCCATGCAGTTCGGAACCAGAACGACAACGGCTGAACCAGGGTTCATGGGGACATGGCAAAACGCTGATACTAACCTCCTGTTCAGAATGTCCCAACAGGTAAGTTACTTTCATTTTTTCCAAAAGAAAACCTTGAATTGTTACATGCACTTTTATTTTTGATATATTTCTTTGTAAATATTTAACACATGTTATCACTTCCTAATTAGGTTCCGTTTTGTCATAACTGTGCCGTTGGAATGTCCAGGGTTACTTCATGCTTTCCCCAAGGGCTCCTTAAAAGAAAAAAGGGGAAAGGATAGTGAAGTAAAGGGAAGCAAAGGCATTTGTTGCAAAGTTTCATGGTCCAGCCTGGCTCTCTCGGGAAGACTTAATGTATTTCATAGTTTTCTGTTAAAAATTAAAAGGGGGTGGAAAAAAATAAAAAGCAACCGCTCAACAAATACATAAATGCATCTTTCTAGCTCTATTAACCACTTAATCCAAGTGGCTGCTATCTCGTAGGAGGCTCTCCAAGCAAACAGTCATAAAATGTTGGGGCCCCTGCCTGGCAGCATGTGGCTGAGAGCTGGCTGGACTGGCCCCGCCGCCAGCGCCGAGGGTCGCCGGAGGAGCCGGTGTGAGTGGCGGCGGGGCCGGTCCCTCGCTGCCCTCCTGGCCGCTGCGCTTGCCCTGCGCCGCCTGCGCCGCTGCCAGCTCACGCACACTCGCCCGCCCGCCTTCCCGCGCACTCACATCGGGCGCAGCTTGGCGTCCTCCCCAGACCCGTTCCTTGGTCCGGGCCGTGCGGGCGGCGGCTCGGCGGACCGGCTGTGCTCCGAGAGCCGACGTGCCTGTGCGAGGCCAGCGGGAGCTGCTCATTAATCACTGGGGCCGGCGGCTTGTACCATGCGCGCGGAGATCCGCGCCCCGCGCCTCTTGCACAATTGCTGGCTCTTCTGCTCCGAGGGGGAGCATGAGCAGGAGGAAGCGAAGGGGAAACAGCCCAGAAACTTTCATGTTGGACTGTGCTCAAACCAGAGAGGGACGTTCCCGGTGCCTCCCTCCCGGACACGTCTTGCTTTTCAGAACCCTACACCAAGCCCACACAAAGCAAGATTGAGTTTGATATTATCAACCACTCAGCTTGAAAGTATTTCTGACAAATAGTCTTGGTTTTCAAGCAGATGGCGGAGGTTAAGAAATTGATGTATTTCCACGAAATTAAAACTACAATGTTTTTTCTTTTTCTAAAACCTGTTTTTGGCTGATAAAAGTTAATGAGAATGAAATACTTTATTGAGTTAATTACATTAAAAAATAATGGTAATAAGATAGGAAGACAAGTTTTCAAACGTTTACGTATCACAAGTTTAAGCAATACATCTGCACAAGATAATGCATGCAGCTGGGGCTTTTAATAGCATTTAGCTAGCTAACAGTTTTACTGCAGTTCTTGTTAGGATAAACGCATTTGAATAAGGTGTATTTTGATATATCCTGTAGAGGGACCCTGATTACTACTGATACACAGTAAGCTGGGATTTAAATGCAATCAACATACACCCAATAAGCAACTCTTTATGTGCTATTTCCAATTCTTGAAAGTTAAAGTCCATTTCCTCAAAGACATGCCCATTGTCATTGCTGAATTCTTTGATTAAGTGTGTTTCTTGGGCACAGTCCTTACTGGTCACTCTTGCTCTCTCCTGATTAGAGCTTAAAGATTGTGTTTTCAGTGACCTTGGGACCAAACAACTTGTGTGGCATTTTTAAAATGAGTTGTCACTTTCAGGGTTTTCCTTGAATAAGTGGAGGTCAGGTGTGTGTGTGTGTGTGTGTGTGTGTGTGAGAGAGAGAGAGAGAGAGAGAGATAGAATGATGTATCTCTCCCTTTAGCTAGAAAAGAGTTAATAAAATCAGATAGAGATAATGATCAATTGATACTTGGCTATTGAACCACATAGATGGTGCTAGATTGCTTCTTTGGTAATGGCCCATTTCCAAGTAGATTTGAATGTTAAGGAGACTTCTAGTCTTGAAAAATATTTTAGCTAAAAACCAGATAAAAGTGATTTATATAAAAGATGGATCAGAATTGGGAACATAATTTGAAATAGCTGAGAGAGAGAAACTTGTTATAACTATTATTGTCTTTGATATATAAGGATCTATTTTGAGTGTCCGGTGTGCATGTCTGTGTAGTGGTCTCAGAGTGTGAAGAGAATAGAAATATAGGCCAGTGATTTATGCATTGTGGATGCCATAGAAAACTTTCGTTACTATTTCATGTTAATTACACTGCTTGCTAAACAGGAGTTCAGAGAAAATGGAAAAAATAAATTATATAATCTAACTACAATTATTTTCTTTATTTTTTTTCCATAACGCCCCCTCCCCTTTTTCTGTTCAATTGTCAGTAAATGATTGTATATAATACATTTGTAGAGAGCAAGCATAGGAGAATGTATGTTCACATGTCCCCTCCCCCCCTCTCAGGATGGCATGCTAGTTTGTATAAATATTATGTACAAACTTAAATTCAAACTGTATGGAAATCTTATATGCTGTGCATGTTTAATATGTTTGTTTTCCTTTTCTGTAGTCCATCTGCAGTGCTGATTCAGCATATCTGTGTTTGTGCCTGTATGTGTATAACTGTTGTTGAAATGACATCTAAAGGCAGCAGGTTGAAGAAATAGTAGTTTCAATATACACGCTAAGCCAGCTTTTGTTTTACTACAGTAAAAGTTTGTCTAATTTAATCAATTATGCAGAATTTAAGGCATAAAGAGGATTTTCAAGAATCTGATTATTTAAATATCTAAGTAAAATTGTTTATAACTTATATATA